GCAGAAATTAACGCTGAAACATCCGCAGTGCTTTCCCTTCTTTTCAAAGCTCGGAAAGCATCTTCCGTGTTTTAAAACCAACCTCCGCGCTTAAATAATCAAAGCAAACGCTTGGGCCATCCCGGTGTTGCTATAAAACAAATCGTGAATCATAACGCGACCCTAAAGCTCGAGAGGCAGCTCTCTTAACTGGCCCAACAGCTAAACTGACAACCTGCCAGTTGTGCAACTCCCCGTAACTCTAAACGAGTGTCGCGGGAATCCACGGATCCGGGGCTGCGGAGAGCCGGGACGGAGGAGGTGGCACTTCGCAGCCTGGCAAAGGATGGAAGTGGCTTGGGCAGTTGGGTGAATCAGTCTCTCCGATGTTTTTCTTGAGCAGGCGTTTTCAGTCGCTTTGTTTTTTTTTTTGGCCGGGAAGTTCCCCCTTTTAAAAAATAATAATGATTGGGGGGGGAAACCCGATGAATTTGCCACATGTCGTTGCCCCGTGGCTATGGGTCAGGCATGCAGCGGGGGACGGCCGAGCCCTATAGCAGATGTCTGCACAGGCAGCCTGGGCTTGGCCAGGGCAGCTCTGCAGCAGAAGCTGCTGAGGAAATGGCTTTCAGCAACAGGCTGAACATCTGGGTTGCCACGGGGCTTTGCTTTTAGCTGGGCAAAATGTCTCCTGGCTTAATGCTTTGCAGATGTATCTGTTTGGTTTGATTTTCCTCAAGGGCTGACACTTTTGAAAGAAATCCCTCGTGTACGCGGAGCCTCCCGGTGCGTTTTGCCGCTTTATTCACCTGGTTTCTCAGAGGAGAGAATTCCCTCCTTGGCAGAGCAGAAAACTAACGTACTTTAATATATTAAGTCACCGAGGGGCTCATTAATACCATAACGTGGCTTGTAATTATTTTCTCTCGGGGTGGGAACAAGCCATGCCGGGCACCGTTCACTGCGCTCTATGGGAAGAGCATTATCGGGCTTTTTTAGGGTTGGTTTTGTTTTTTTTTTTTAAACTCGAGGTGGCTATTCTGAACTCGAGGCGCTATTAATTCTTCGGCAGCAACAAAGAGCAGAGCCACAAAGCCGGGTGGGAATGGAGGTATGACAGAGACGCGAGGCCGATGCCGTCCCCGGGGGGGAGGAGGGAGCGGGAGCATCCTCGAAAAAGCTCCAGCCTGGCTGCTCCCGGCGTGTGAAATAATTAGTCCGATTGTCCGCTCCCTCGTCAACGGGAGGCTCGAATGGATGCGAAGTGATGCCTTCATCTGGCCTTTTGACGGCGATCCATTAAATTGCTGTCAAGCTGCACGTCTCTCACGTAGGGGCTGGGAAAGTCAAGTCGTCGCAGGCGGCTGGATGGGCAGAGCCAGGCGAGGGGAGGGGGCTCGGGTGGGGGATGCTTGGGGAGGAAAGGGGCTGCCGCCCCCCTTCTCTCCTCGCCTCAGCGGATGAGGGCACGTGAAAACGCGTTGGTGATGTGCATGCAAAGCCACAGCTCGCACGTCGGCGGGGCGGTAGCAGTGCCACACGCGTGTGCGCGACGCGCAGCGCGGAAACGCGTTCGCGGTGCATCCGCGAGGGTGTCAGGGAGTTGCAGTGGGAAAGAAGCTGGAAAAGGGGAATGTAAGACTAACGCAGAACATGTGGCGTGGGCTTCGGGGGCGGGAGGTGTGTGGGAACGCTTCTTACGAGGAGATGGTAAAAATGCCTGAAATGGGGATGTGGCTGTTTTATCTAGCCTTTTATAGAAGCAAATTTCCTTCCCCTTTTTTTTTTCCCCTTCCTTCCACCCACTCCGGTGAAGCACGAGAGTGCACCGACACTGGCTTTTTAGCAGATAGAAGGCACGGGTGACGAGCTACTTCTAAATATCCTGATTGAGCCTTTCGAAAGTCATCCCTGACCTTGACTTACCGGGATAGATGTCGACAACCAGTAATGAATATGCATTGAAATCCCTGATAGCTTTCCAGCAGTGGTGAAAAGAAATGATGAATGAGGTCTTTGTGAAGCACCGGGAGCAAAACACTGGTTTCTGTTACATCCCTGATGCAAAGTTTCCCGGAGGCTTTTGTGATTTAGCTGGGTTTGGGCTCAGGTTCCTGATAAAAAGCTGCACGTCTCCATGCCCTGGTATTTTGGGAGGTGCTTCCCAGGTCCGTAAACAGATGCTTTTTCCCGGTGCAAGGGGAACCTGGATCTTTCCTTTGGCAGCAAACCGCATCAGGGAGCGATTCCTCAAATACAGGTATTTAGCTCCTGCAGCACCCTTTGGAGGTGTCATGTATGCGCCCACCCAGCGCCAGCTCTGGGACCGTCTCAGCTGTCTGGAGCCACAGGGGCATGAACAGTACCTGGCATTGTCCCCGTCCTCTCAGAGTGCTATTACTTTAATG